AAAAGTATTATAACTATATTTGATTTAATTGATTTTATTAATTTATAATTAATTAAAGTGATTAAAAATATCAATCGTATAAGCTAATTTCTATCGATCATACTGAATATAACTGTTTACACTTAATTTTACAACAAATGGAGTGATGCCACGTATCACCCATGATGGCAGATATTTTATTAGTTGAAAGTTGGTGTGAATCTCTTCAAATGAGATTGAGTGGTTATTTCCACAACGGCAGCAAAACCGTTCTGTTGTTGCGAGCTTCTAAGAGAATATTCACAGCACCAACAAATTAATCAATTTGTTGCAGATATCATGCTGTCGTTGGTTTTTCAGGATGTTGCCGCAGATCTCCACTGTGCTGCCAAGGTGTTATAAATACCTAATGATAAGATCAAGTAAAGGATGGACATCTCACACAACAAACTCAGCACAATTTCTCTTTATGCTCAGATTCATCTTAGTTTCAAGCCCTTTAGTTTAGTTTTAACTCTACGCTTCAACTTAGATTAGTTTAGCAATTCGGTTCTCCTTTCATCAGATTTGTAATGGTGAGTTTCATTGCCTTCAGTAGTATTTCTTTGTGATCGGATTTCTTATTTTCCTTTTCTATTTTCCAAGTTTCTTTTAATTAAATCAAATGATGTCGACATTTAATTTCATATTCAATTACATTTCTGTTAATTTATATTTCATGCTGCCAATAGATTTTCTTTGTTTCCGATTTATTTACTTTAACTTAATTTACTTTTGCTGTAATTAAATTTCCTTTTAGAGCTCTGTTTCAATCCAGTTTGTGTATTTAAAGTTCATTTAGATTTTTAGTAGTTTAGCGATCATTTATTTTCCTTGCAATATTAACTTTTCTTGATTACATTAGCTTTGAGGAGTCCTTGGAATCATATCTAGGGCAGTTTGCCGTATAACCCATTTAGTGCAGGAAGTTCATCCCTCGTTTGTGTCAATCGTTTAATCTTTAAGGTGTAATTTACGACGTTCTTCCATCAACTCACAAGCTAAGTTTCACGCTTGGAAAGAAGAGAGGGTTGTCGGAGAAATCTTTCTTGTTTTGAGCAAAGCAAGTGGCACTCTATTTCATCTGCCACGTATCAAAGAGATTTTTTGGGATAACAATAACTATATAATATTTTGGTGTGACTTAACATTTTTTTTTTTTTTGTATTAACATAACATGCCCTCTTAAAATTACTAGATTCCTAAGAAAATTTTTTCTTCTCTTTCTACTCTAGAATCCTTTTGCTATTGACTAAATCTTCTCAAAGTTTTAGTTTTTTTGTGCTTGAAAGCCCTCGGGCTTCTCAAGCATGATGGAGTTGGCTTTTTGTGCTCCTTTGTTCGTTGATCACCCTAAGTGGTTTATCGGCTCTTTTGTGGTTCCTTCTGGTAGTCTTTTTCTTTTTCTTTATTGTTCCTCATTTTCTTGTTCGTTTCGTTTAGATTTGATGACTAACAAAAAAAAAAAAAACAGAAATTAGGAATTAATCACTGCTTACTTTGATCTCATTCTCAAGGCATTTTGGAGAGTGAGCTCATCTATTTCAAAAGTACATTGAAGGATGTCTAATTTTCTAAAACATTCGATCAAATAAATTTATAAAATTAGATTCCTTAAAAGTTATTTATGTTATTATTCATTGTCCTTCTTTATTTATTTCTCGTTAAACTTGATTTACTTTTAGTTATTATCTCCAGTTGTGTTTTCTTTGTTCCATCATTT